ATAAGCATGATTACTTTTTTAATGACAAAATTGAAAACAAAATTACATTTTTTTATTCATTGTAATTTTCTTTCAACATTTCCATTTGTTTAATTCGATGTGACGATTATAGTGTTATGATTGTTTTTGTTTTTCAGCGTATGACAATAATTTATTTGAATATGATGTTTATTCAAGATACGATATCCTTTCTACTAAATTGATGTGAACTACGTTCAGCATGAAATGCAGCATGTAATTTGTTGTTACTCTAGGCATTTTTCATATATATGATTGTATCCTCATCAATAAATAAAATGGTTGTACTAATTAATATGTTAATTAATGTATTTTCGGATTAGGGACGTCGTATTTTTGATCTAATAAATCTTTATTTATACCATTCTCGGTGTTCTTAATCCGAGTAGTGATAGTTGCAATGATTCCTCGTTTTTTTTCTTGAAAGTATAATTAATAGTCAATGCGGACATAACAAGTTCGCATCAGACAGCTTGAACATGTTTCATATAAAATGCTACAACCATGATTTAAAGAAACTTAGTATTCTAGTATAGCTGAGTAATAGTTTAGTATATAATTGTTTCTAACCTTGCTCATTATTGATAATTATAATTTTTATTGATGTTTCAACGAATTTCAAGGAAGGTAGTCTAATAAAGTGTCATAAGTAATTATTTTCAACAAGTGATATATTCACAAATCTAATCTATATTTGTTTTGACTAAATGCTGACTTTTATGTACTACAGAACTCATTAAGTTCACTTGTTGTTGTTTACTTGTATCTTCCCATTGTTATTTAGGACTACAACTGATCAGTCTATTGTTGGCATATGTTCATCCTGTGCGGACTGCCTCGTTATTGCCTTACGTCACAAGCATATTTCTTAAGTTTTTATAAATATGTCAAGTTAGTATGACCAATGTAGAAGTTGTACACAAATGAAAATCCGTGTAGCTATGTGGGTAATGGACAATATCTGAGAGTTATCTACTGATCTGATGCATATAAATGAAACATGGTCAACTGAACACTAATATGAAATATTTATTTCTCTAGACAATGTCTTATTATATGAAATGAACACTCATTTCTTTATTTACATTGGGAAACAAAATATGTGCAGAAATGAAAGTTGTTTAACAAGTAATCAATCGTTGAAAAAGTCATAACTAATGAATTCTTAAAAATAGAAGGTTTGTAACTTTCATTATAATCCAGAACACATTTTTTATATGGTTTGAGAAACTTCAGTTGACTGAACCTACATTATTGCGCCGGTGTTCACATAGGGTTACCTTTGACTTCAAAAATGAATCTTTCACTGTTGACATTCCGGTTAACTCAAACACTAATAACGACATATCTGAAGTAGGATGAAACATATATCTTGTATTCTACCGCTAGCCACAATCTATCTATTGTATAAATGTGTGACAAGAAGGCTCTGTCGAGGCAGTCCGCATAACTTGTAAATATACCGATTGAAAGTGACCAATTTAACAATGTGGTCCTCGAACTTTTATTAATATTAATTATATGTTAAGGCCTTACATATTGATTTTGAGAATAACCATTTTATAAATACCGGAATTTTAATTGCTACTAGTAGATCAATAACTTGACAATCGATTCAAGCAGATTACTTGACCTTAACGATAATTATTACAGTAACCAGCTGTTTTTTCACCGATGCTCAATCTTTCCGTTTTTCATTAGACAACTATTATCATCACATTTAATTTTTCCAACATAGAATCCGTAAAAGAAGAACCCTATAGATTACAATATTAAGTATCGTCTTTCGTTTATCACTATCATTATTATCTCTTAATTACTTGCCTCAGTAACTTTTTATTTCGATTATTTTTAACTAAAATACAGGTTAATTTCGTGGCGAGAAAATGATTTCATTAAATCGGCCACTTAAACTTGAATCATACTTTAAGCTAACCATACACAAAATATGCTGACACATTTCTAGTTAAGATAATGGTATAAACTAACTATCAGGAAGTGAATGTAGTTAAGTTTCCTCAAATTCTTATAAAATAGACTTATTTTGACTTTAAATGGCATCTTACAAAACCATATAATAGGAGTGTCTCCGTATAGTAGTTTCAAATCACCAAATATTTTGTTGCTATAACATAAATTTCTAAATGAGTTCTCGAAATTGACTTTATTTAATGCCAGGTCATAGTTCAACAACCTTTGAACCAATAGTCATGATCATTTTGTCCACAAATGCCCTGATACGGCCGAGAGTGAGGGCAGTCCACTCTCCCTCTCCAAATGCTCTCACATGGCCTCTGCAAGCGAAGTCCTACTCACTGCCTCGCCGTAGCGGGGGTGCTGTTTACGAAATTAGGAGGATGAAAAGCGAATGCCCGGCGCTTTAACCGTGTTGGTTGACACGGAAAGTCCACTAAGTGGAGTTGGAAAACCCTGATTCCAAACCAATGGTGCACATGGGCTCCAGTATCCTGAAGGAACGAATGGCGTATGAATCAATCATTGGTCACCGGCCACCATGGGACTGCATCTCCTTATTATGCTCCACTGCCTTGTGGATCAGACGTTTAGGTTAAAAGCTCGGGGTGTGCCCCCCTAAGAAAACCACTTGCTTCAGTTTGGGCACCTATGCAGTATCACATCCCTCACAATTCAAGTGAGATTTGTGTGGCGCATATGTATCCGCCTGTAGCTCTTCTAGAGTTACTGCCGGTCCCAAGCCCGGGTAAAGGAGGAGGGTTGGGCATGGGGTTAGCGACCCCATCCCGTAGAAAAGCTAACTCGCTAAAAAAACGCTAACCAGAAAAAATAATTCAAACCATTTAAACTCTGCCCTGGGAGTTGAAGGAATAATGACGTCTCATGATGAAAGCCGAAATTCTTCGGAAGTCACGAGACCGATGCACCTTTTAACAACCAGAGCAACACTCTTTATAGGTATATGGAACGTCCGGACAATGTGGGAGACAGGAAAGACCAGCCAAATAGCAATGGAAATGAGGAGATACAACTTGGCAGTACTCGGAATCAGCGAAACCCATTGGACACAAACTGGACAACAAAGGCTAGGTACAGGAGAGATGCTGCTGCACTCCGGTCACGAAGGGGAAAATGCTCCACACACTCAGGGAGTTGCTCTAATGCTGTCCAAAGGAGCAAGAAATGCACTTGTGGGATGGGAATCTCATGGACCCAGGATAATCAAAGCATCATTCAGAACAAAGAAGCAAGGGATCACAATGAACGTTATCTAATGTTATGCACCCACCAATGATAGCAACGACGATGATAAAGATCAGTTCTATGAAAGGCTGCAATCAATTGTAGCAAAGTGCTCACCAAAGGACCTCACCATCCTGATGGGAGATCTAAATGCTAAAGTTGGAGTGGACAACACAGGATATGAAGATGTAATTGGACGACATGGATTAGGAGAGAGAAATGAAAATGGGGAGAGACTTGCAAACCTATGTGCTTTCAACAAATTGGTTATAGGCGGCACAATATTCCCACACAAACGCATACACAAAGCTACATGGATCTCACCGGACCACACCACAGAAAACCAGATAGATCACATCTGTATCAACAAAAATTCCTAAGATCAATGAAAGATGTGAGAACCCGGAGAGGAGCTGACATAGCTTCAGATCACCACCTGGTTGTGGCCAAGATGAGACTGAAGCTAAAGAAACACTGGACAACTGGACAAACAGCACTACAAAGGTTCAATACAGCCTTCCTTCGAGATACTGACAAGCTCCATGAATTCAAGATAACTCTCAACAACAGGTTCCAAGCTCTACAGGATCTACTGAAAGAACAAGAAACTACTTTGGAGGACAACTGGAAAGGGATAAAAAAAGCACTAACTTCAACGTGTCAGGAGGTTCTTGGTCCTAAGAAGCATCGTCACAAGTAATGGATTTCTATGGGAACCCTGGACAAAATTCAAGAAAGGAAGAACAAGAAACTAGCAATTAACAACAGCCGAACACGAGTAGAGAAAGTCAAAGCACAAGCAGACTACGCAGAAGCAAACAGGGAAGTGAAGAAAAGCATTAAAGCCGACAAGCAGAAATACATGGGAGAACTAGCAACGACGGCGGAAAAAGCTACAAGAGAAGGGAATATGAAACAACTATATGATACAACGAAGAAATTGGCAGGGAGATATAGCAAACCAGAGAGACCAGTCAAGGACAAAAAAAGGAAAGACAATCACTGAGATTCAAAAACAGAGGAAAAGATGGGCAGAATACTTCGAGGAACTGCTGAATAGACCAGCCCCATTGAATCCACCGAACATCGAAGCAGCCCACACAGACCTTCCAACAGATGTCACTCCACCAACGATAAAAGAAGTCAAGATGGCCATCAGACAAATCAAAAGTGGGAAGGCGGCAGGACCTGACAATATACCAGCAGAAGCACTGAAGTCTGACATTGAAATAACTGCAAACATGCTTCACCTTCTATTCAAAAAGATTTGGGAAGAGGAACAAGTGCCAACGGACTGGAAAGAAGGATATCTCATCAAGATACCAAAGAAAGGAGATCTGAGTCAATGTGAGAACTACAGAGGTATCAGTTTGTTATCAGTACCAGGAAAAGTTTTCAACAGAGTGCTGCTGAATCGGATGAAAGACGCAGTAGACGCCGAACTTAGGGATCATCAGGCTGGATTCCGTAAGGATCGGTCATGCACAGACCAGATTGCGACACTACGGATCATCGTTGAACAATCGGTTGAGTGGAACTCATCACTATACGTCAACTTTATTGACTATGAGAAGGCGTTTGACAGCGTGGACAGGAAAACATTATGGAAACTTCTTCGACACTATGGAGTTCCTCAGAAGATCGTCAACATTATCCTAAACTCATACGATGGGTTACAGTACAAAGTGGTGCATGGAGGACAGCTGACAGATGCATTTCCAGTAAGGACTGGAGTCAGACAAGGCTGTCTACTCCCCCCATTTCTCTTCCTTCTAGTGATTGACTGGATTATGAAGAATTCGACATCTGAGGGGAAATACGGAATACAATGGACAGCTCAGAATCAATTAGATGATTTGGACTTCGCAGATGACCTAGCCCTCCTCTCTCATACACACGAACAAATGCAGATGAAGACAGCAAATGTAGCAGCAGCCTCCGCATCGATAGGTCTCCACATTCACAAAGGAAAAAGCAAGATTCTCAAATGCAACACGGAGAACACCAACCCAATCACACTTGACGGCGAAACTCTGGAAGAGGTGGAAACATTCAAGTACCTGGGGAGCATCGTTGATAAACAAGGAGGATCGGATGCAGATGTAAAGGCAAGGATTGGCAAAGCAAGGGCAGCATTTCTACAATTGAAGAACATATGGAACTCAAAACAACTCTCAACCAATTTCAAGGTCAGAATCTTTAATACGAACGTCAAGACAGTCCTACTGTATGGAGCTGAAACGTGGAGAACTACTACGGCCATCATCAGGAAGGTACAAGTATTTATAAACAGTTGTCTACGCAAAATACTCAACATCCACTGGCCGGATACTATCAGCAACAGCGTTTTATGGGAGAGGACAAACCAGCTTCCAGCTGAAGAGGAAATTAGGAAAAGACGTTGGAAGTGGATCGGACATACATTGAGGAAATCACCAATGTGCATCATGACTCAATCCCTAACTTGGAATCCGCAACTGGAAAGAACTGGAAAGGAAGGCTCAGGACAGAGTTGGATGGAGAATGCTGGTGAGCGGCCTATGCTCCTCCATAAGGGGTAACAGGTGTAAGTAAGTAAGTAAGTAAGTATATGTATCTGGTGTCCCCTTGTACCAATATTTATCTGTTTAAATAAATAAATAACATGATCATTTATGCAACTTAATCCAGTAATAATAGAAATTATATATAGAGATCAAAATAATATTGGACAAAATAGAAAGTGCATTGTTTGAAATGAAATATAAGTTATGTGAATTGAATAATACAATGCTTGATTAAATTTTATTTTATAGATTTATTTGTTATTTTAAGTTTTAATTATTTAATTTTATTAGTTTACTATTTATCTCATGAGTTTCTATGTGAAAATCTTTCATTCATTCATTTATTCAATAATGATAAACATTAAAAAGAATTAAATTCAACTTAGTATAGTTTGTTTGAATCTTCCCATCGATTTGTTAGGACTGCAACTGGTCAGTCGTGGATTCCACTGCTAGCCACTATCCATCTCTATTAAAAAGAATTATTACAATTTGTCATCTTTATTAATTAATTTTGGTTTCCCATTTCATCTCTTGTGAATTTCAATCATATGATTTGAAAGTAATTTGGTTACATTTGTATAGAGATTATCTGTTGGCTAAGGTATTCATTTCAGTTGTAACCAAATGGTTTTAGCCTGGGATAAATGATTAATACAAGTACTCTATGATAATTATGCCTGATATTCATATAACCATTAGTTAGAATATGAAATTATTTTGAATCTCTTATATGGGTTGCGTTAATGATAACTAATAGTTTCATAAGAATATTGGTCATTAGTTTAATAATTGGATTGTGAGTGAAATGAATTTTCAGAAGCTCAAAGAACTTTAAACTAGGTCTTTACTAGTAAAATCCAACATGGTTATAGAACTTTTTAATAGACATTTTTTCATCAATAAACATTGTTTTCTTTGGTAAGCAGAGATGGATAGTGGCTAGCAGTGGAATCCAGGACGCGCGTTTCGTCCCATTTGGGACTCGTCAGCTGGATGTACCTGCATCTCAGAGTTGATGTTCACTCTGGGACTCGAACCCAGTACCCTCGCTTCAAACGCCATCGCGTTATCCACTCGGCCACTGAGTCCTGAGATGCAGGTACATCCAGCTGACGAGTCCCAAATAGGACGATACGCGCGTCCTGGATTCCACTGCTAGCCACTATCCATCTCTGCTTACCATGCTTGTGAATTAAGGTATATCGAGGCAATACGCATAGTATGCACATATGCCAATTAGAGACTGACCAGTTGCAGTCCCAAACACATCGATGGGAAGATCCAAACAAACAATACTAAGTGAATTGTTTTCTTTGTTTCTTCTAATAGATTGTTAGGATAACCTTTTGAGTAGAAACACAGTAAAAATGTAAGTCTTGCAGAACCACTGATGTTCTTTATTCTGAATTCATGATGATAATATTCTGAACTAAAGCAAGACAACATGTCTCCTATAGACATATATTTTCCATATAATTATATATATATATATATATATATATATATATATATATATACGAATGTACAGCTTAGGAAAATGATTTCGTCGAAAAGAAAATTTTCTTCGCTGAATTCTCTTTTTCTTATTCAACGACACTTTGAGTTATTTTTTTCATTATCTGAAGACAACATGCATCTAGTAATTCAATGTGAATTTTGTTATGAAGATATTGATTAAAATGAATCTGCTATTTTGATTGACCATTGAGCAGTAACTAATGGTGTGTTTATCTAGTCCTCTAAGGAAGTTTAGCTCTATCGCTCAAGTTTCAGTGTAGCCAGCAATCTGACTGAATCAAAATCGTATGCACAGTGTTTAGATCCGATCATAATGCAACTTAATTGATAGGAATGGATCGACGTGATGAAATAGACATTCATGACATTGATTACTTTCCGGTGATCGATCAATATCACTGCTTCACGTTAACAAACAACTTCATAGCAAAATTCTTATTGAATTACTAAATGCATGTTGCCTTGCTTTAGTTCACACCCTTATCATCTAACTGATTAGACTTATCATTGATCAATGTAGGAAAGAATAAATAACCAAAGTAGTATATTTTTTGGTTCATGACAATGTTGATGTACATGCGCATATCAAATATGATGATATAAGAAAAGAAATCTGAGAATAATAGAATTCTAATAGTGGACAGACCAAGAGAAGTATATATTTCATTTTATGGTGTAGTAAATATATTTCTTGTGCGTTCATACTATACTGTATCTTTTCTTGGAAAGAATTAAGTACATTCCACGTATAAGATTTTTTCTATTTCTTTTTGTATTTAAAAGAAAGAACTGTAGTAGGACACACATGAAATCACAGAGGTAGATCTTTCTATTGCAAACAAGAATATGTCCATCGTATTCTGTATATGTATGTCATACACGATGTGAACTGACTTATAACTTATCAGAATGTACATCAATACTGATTTAAATGATGAAATCAGAACTTCAATTAACAAAATTGTTGATTTTTTGTGAGAATGTCACTTAAAGGATTAATTCATCAATCTAGAATATAGTTTGTTGAAAAAAAATCAAAATTTAATGTATTTTGCCATTTATAACAAATCCAAATTTAACATATACGTTATTTGTAAGAAGAATTCTGTTCTGATTATTGATGTGAATGTTTCCAATGATTTCAAACTTAAAATAATCTAGAAATTTTTTTACTAAATGGGTGTTTTGTTTAGAAATACTTTGTAACGGTGTGTAAATTTATTAACGACAAAATATTATGCAGTAAAGAAATATTTGTAGAATAAAACAATTAAATTAAATGGGAAAGTATTGGAGTTTATTTTAGTAGTCTAAAAGTATCATGGAATGGAGGGATGTTCAACAGTTGCGTTCCAGCGACCTGCCGAGCCATCTGCATTTGATATTCGCTCAGCAGCTGTGCGTCTTACTGCTCCTGGTTGTCGACAACACCTCCTACATCCAACGTCATTCCCTCAGCACACTACACTCGACGTCACCTTCGCTCTCGTGACCGCCTCAACTAGCACCCCAGCTTCAGGCCGGTAGTGGCGTCCGCAGAAGAGCACCCTTTCCTCCTAGTTGGAAGCGACACTAAATGTAGTGAAGAAATATACAGATGAGGACAACCAATTATATTTGGGCATAAAATTACAGAATCTTTTAATAAGATCTTAGAACCATACAGTAAATACTTAATTTGCAAAATGCCAATCAGTCGTCTCAAACTTGATTGTTCCTTTTGCAAATTTCAATCAATTGTCTGAGACTTCAACGTTCTTTCATTTCCATACCAATCGCTTTCTGTTCCGCTTCTTTCCTTCTCGATCTTCTGTTGCCAAACATTCTATTCCTGACTAGTGTTACATGCTACTTGTGTCGTTATAAGTAGCATACACAACACTATTGTGACATCAATTTACATTCATATAAAATCATTCGAATGAATTGAAAAATATAATAATCATTAATCGAAATTTCTAACATGTTAGGATGAACGATGTTCAAAATTAACGGCATTTTATGTCGCATGATTTATATTTAAATTTATTTTCAATGGTGATGATTTTTATTAATCTTGGACTATCCAAATAATACAGATTGTGGCTTAATTATTTAAAGAAATAATTTGTAGTTGATATTCGTCATTACTTGATCTCACTGAGCGCATCAATGAGAGTTGAGAAGCACTGAACGATTATTTCACCTGAAACTATTTAGAAGAGTTCACCCACGATATTATTAAGAATCGTCGTCATAACCTTCAGATCTTATGAAAAATATTTGACTATCAGAGCTGATAACCTATTGTGAATGGGATGTATTTTAAAGTTTCATCAATTCCTTGCACATCTCGATGACCATCCAAGCTCACTGCTTGGAGTAGGAAATGTAAACCGTTGGACGATGATCCAGTTGTTCTAGCGGTTAAACGGTATCAATTGGATCTGAAAGTTTGTGTTTGAACTCTGGCGGGGTTGTGTATGCACTAGCAGGAAGTCCCTATTTCAGCCAAAATGTCTAGTGTTCACTGGTTTTCATTAGTTTTATAGGTGAGATCAGTCGGTAGAGAATACTTCCTAAGAATTAAAATAATTGACATAAAAACCTTTCATATTAACCAGATAGGTCTATTGGCTATAACAGTGTCAACTTACAAGTCAAATTCGATTGTACCTTTTTGATGTTGAAATTTAACTAATTAATTATAGAAATTATTATAAGAATTTAGGCAATAAATAAAGTCGAGAGTTTTACACAGTGGAAGCTGACATTCAATGTTTTGTCAAATCTTTTAGACGTTTTTCATTAAAAGACTTATTTGATATGAACATTTAGCTTACTTACTTATACCTGTTACTCCCAATGGAGCATAGGCCGCCGACCCGCATTCTCAAACCCACTATTTTCCTGGGCCCTCCTTTCTATCCAACTTTTGTTCATTCTTCTCATGTCTGTTTCCATTTCTCGGCGTAATGTGTTCTTTGGTCTTCCTCTTTTCTTTTGGCCTTCAGGATTCCATGTGAGGCCTCGCCTTGTGACGTAGTTGGTGTTTTCCAAATTTAAACATGCAATATGTTTGACTCATATCATTTATAAAAATTGTCTGTTTTTTTCCCTTGAAAACTTTACTGATCAAAGTCGATATAAAAATCAATGAAATTTCTTCTCATACCTCTGAACTACTTACAAACACACACAATCTGTTTTCTTAATAATTTTCGTTTCACACTGCATGTCTCTTATACATTAAA